TACAGATATATGATGCTCTAGCCATGTTTTTATTTTATTTTTCATTTCTCAAATTTGTTGCATCAGATTTTCTTAAAGATCATACTTAAAAATCATTTCGAACAACTTTATTGCAATGCATACAGCGTCCGGCGATTTTGATTGACAGGTCAATACATGTGCACTTAGTGTAATACTTCTTAATTAACACCCTTCCCCGCAGTCACGCATTTTAACGCATATACCATTTCCTATTTCTAACGCAAAATCACGCATTTACCTTTTCCCCGCAATCACGCATATTCACGCACTTTAAAAAGTTCATTTAAGCTTCAATTTATAGCCAAATTCCAACTATTTTATACTTGCTTGATCCTCATAAAATAAAAGTTATTTTCTAATTTAAATATTATTTCAGAATATTATTTACGCTAAACTTTAGAGAAATTTGTACCCCGCAATAAAGTGCTTGCGGGGAAATGGTAAAGTAATATTTCTATGACGCGAGGATTCAATGTATGTTGCGTAGCAATTCTGTAAGTTGTAAAGAGTTAAGCAGAAAAAATATACAGAGAGTGACTATGACGGTCTATGAAATCAGAAGATATTTAATAAAGAATGGGTACAACTGATATAGAACTGATTTTTTGTCTATGTAAATGGATAGGATAATCAGGATTAAAAGGGAATATCTCTCTCTCTCTCTCTCGGACATGTAAATTTCAGTATCTTGCGTAATGAAAAATCTACTATTATAGAATATGAATTCTGTATACATGTTAATGGTAGTTATAACCAAATGTTCCAGATTTAATTGTATAACGAATTTATAATTCAAAGGCCTATAGTTGCAATAATGTCCCCGAATAAAATCAAGAGGGGGGGGGGGCTTCAAAAGAATTACATACTCGGTAATTTTATGTTTTATGAATTAAAAGGAAAATACTTAAGGTTGCATGTACATACATATGATTATATAGCATTGCATAAATTTGTGTTCATTCGTATACTTTATCTAACATATCAACAGACCTTTGCAGATGTTTTTGTATCATGTTTTTAGCGTAGCATTATTTCACACAGAAACGCATAACTTTCACATAATGTTAACCCTTTGAGTACTAGTATTTCACAAAAATCCAAGAATCGCTTTTACTCATCTTTAATAACTTCTCGGGTATATAAAAGTATAGATCATGTATAATAAATAACACCATAAGACTTTTAATCAATGAAATATACATGTACGTGTTAAAACCAAATCCAATCTATAGATTGATTTTCTTTCTTTTAAGTTGCAGATATCAATTTATTTCTAAAGACTTTACACCTACTCTTCTATCTCTCAGTTCCCTTTCGAGTACATATAATATTTTAGAATCGAAAATAAAATTCGGATTCCGGGATAATTTTGCATTCAAATTAGAGAATGAATTAAGAATATTTTTTTTAAATATAATCATAACAGACATTACAGATTTACACTACGCTGTCAACTTTAAATTATGCATATACTGAAAGCAGTAACCAACGTAATCTTTCATGCAGAAGTGGATATGGAAACTCAAAGTCTTATTATTTTTTTTTATGTGAAAAGTGTGGTTATCTATCTTTGCACATTGTCACTACGTAAATAGAGAAAATGAATTTATTGACGGAACCTTAAATCTCCAAAATGCAGAATCCGATTGAATAAATAATATGTTTAGTATTTTTGTAGAATAATTTGTATATACATCGCTGTAATGTATACTGCGTACAATATTATTTTCTTCAAAGTGCTTAGTTGACACAGAACGGATTTTTTTTTTAGATATAAATTTGTAAATCAAAAACTTTCAATATACAGACTAACACTACACAGCCAAATTTAAACTAATATGCATATAGTGAATTAAGTAACATGCAAAAGAGAGAATATTGAATGTGTAAATATGTTGATCTGGAGAGCGTATATATGTCTCTAACGTCATCAATACTATTTCCGCCTTTATCTCGAAAGTTCTATTCTCATTCACAGGTCAGAGTTATCTTTCTTTGCCCACCTTAAACATACTACGTAAATAGAGAAAATTTCGGTACCGAAAATATACAAAATGCGGAATCTGATTTAAAAACAAATTATATATTTAGTATTTGTAGAAAAATGTCTGTTTTACATAAGAATATCTTGAAAAAATATCTAAAAACAAAAAAAAAATCAAAAATTGACCAAAAACAAATTCACTTCCGGTTCGGACAGGAAGTACTGGAAACACACGAAAACAACTTCAAAAAAAAATAGAAAATCATGATCTAATACTCCTGTAAATTTCATATCTTTGCCTCAAACCGTTTCTGAGAAAACTGCCGGACAAAATTCCATTTTAAAATTCCAAAATCGGCCATAACTTCGGACGGGAAGTGAATTTTTAAAAAAAAACGGAATTTTATAAAAACTTCATATATCAACCTACTTACATGAGTAATCGCGCTCACAAAATTTGGGAGGAATATTAATAATAATAATAATAATAATAATAATAAAAATACAAACAATACAAACACTATAAGTCTTCCGTTGTGAACGGAAGACTTAATAATAATAATAATAAGAAACAATAGAATAACTATAAGGTCTTCCGTGAAGACGGAAGACCTTAATGATAAGAAACAGTAGAATCACTATAAGGTCTTCTGTCTGAAACGGAAGACCTTAATAACTAGAACGATACTCGTTGCGAGCAACGAGAGGTCTTCCGTCCGATTCTGGAAAAAAAAACTCGTAATGTCGAGCTGAGAATTTATTAAAAATTTTGGTCACAAATTGAATCCAGGTCGCCAGCGTGAAAATCCAATCCGCTTTTTTCCCCTTTTATCCCCAACGCGCTAACCATTACGCTATTGGGAGTACTGCTCTAAATGTACTTGTGTATACTTTTGCTACAGTACACCTGTCTAAGAATTATAAAAGACGGGCCATTATTTATAATTTCGCGCCCAACGCCACGTTAAATCTTCGCGCCTTTTCTTTAGACTGATTAAATAGGTGTGATAGCTTGAATGAAATTAAGAAAAAAGAACGTTCTCATAGCCTACATTTCGAGGTTTAGAAAATATATTTAAAACATTGTACACATTCTATAGAAAAGTAACACAAAAGCAGTGAAATGACTATAATTTAATTTTTTTTATTTCCCGTCTCAGAAGTGAACTATGCCGATTAGTTACATTTTCATAAAAAGGTTGAAATGTTTCGCCGAAAAACATGCCTCGCTCTACGCCAGTCAAGGAATCAGATACCATTTATGTTCAATAACTTGATTCAGATCTTTGAGATAAGAATGTTAATATAAACTCCATTAGAGGATCTTATTAAAATGGTTTTCTTATTTTTGTCTTTTCTATTCGTTTAATATCACACAAGTGTGCATGGGAAAAACAGTGGTTATACGTTTTATTCTTACTATATACATGCATCAATATTGTATCTTGAAAAACTATAACTTATAACTATGATTTAAGATCTGTTTTTCCGTCTTGCAAAACAAATGATAATAGGTATCTCTCATTTGCACATTTAGTCTTTTCTTTTTCTACTTTGAGAACCAACCAAAACCAGTTACAGAAGACGTTTGAGAAGACCCTGGAATAAATCTTTAGTTTGACACAGAATTGTAACGTAATTACTACGTGATCTATTAACGCTCAAACATTAAGCTTTTGGGAGAACTGCTCTAAATATACTTGTGTATACATTTGCAACAGTACACCTGTCTAAGAATTATAAAAGGCGGGCCACTATTGATAATTTCGCGCCAAACGCCACGAATAAATATTCGCGCCTTTTCTTTGGACTGATCTATTAAATAGGTGTGATAACTTCAATGAAATTAAATAAATAAAACGTTCTTATCGCCTTTATTTTATTTCGACGTTAAGAAGGTATATTTAACACATTGTACACATTACATATCGTATCTAGCCCAGTTAAACTAAAGCAGTGAAACGGAAATTAAGTTTTAAGATTGACACTGAATTACAATACTACTACGTGAAAGTCCAAGTAGTTTTTTTTTTTACATTTCATGTATCCTTATGTCAGAATGGTTTAATCAAACGCTCAGCTGCCTCCATAAACCCCTACTTGCGAAATGGCGGAGTTGACAGAGGCAGACGCCATCTTGGACCCGCTTCAGATTTTCAAATGTTACTATTTAGAGTTCAGACTAACCAATATTCAAACAATTTATATAGTAATCATCAATCAAAGGGTCTCTATTACCATTCCAAAAATAAATAAAAAATATTGAAAAACCAAAAAGTTAGAAAAAACGATTTTTTAAATTCGCTTCTTCTAACGACAAGAAGTACCAACGACGAACAAAGAGTCGCGTCCTGGATAGTATATATCACGATCTATAATCCCTGAAAGTTTCATGTTGATATCTTTTACCGTTTTTGAGTTTAATCGTGGACAAAATGTCATTTTAATTTCAGAAAATTGTCCGTAACTTGGCACCGGAAGTGGGTTTCTAAATTTTCTCTCGGATATAATAAATTCATGTAACAACACCTCTGTCCTGAAAATTTCATGTAATTTCACCCAGTAGTCTTTGAGAAATCGCATGCACAAAATTAGAAAGTCAAAAAAATAAGAATAATAATAATAAGAAACAATAGAATCACTATAAGGTCTTCCGTGAAGACGAAAGACCTTAATAATAATAAGAAACAGTAGAATCACTAAAAGGTCTTCCGTGAACACGGAAGACCTTAATAATAATTTTAAGAAACAATAGAATCACTATAAGGTCTTCCGTGAAGACGGAAGACCTTAATTATAGCAATATGACATTGCTTACAAAAGGAGGCATACTTTTCATTTTGACATTTAATACAGTGTATCACATGTAAGCTTAAAGTTTGTCATATTCATCTCTTTTTGTTATATTGTTATAATATATAAAATAAGCATATGATACATTAATGCAATTGAAAAAAGTCTCTCTCGAGAATAGAATTTAGTTTAGAAGTCTTACGTTGGGTACAGTTGCTTCCTGTCCATCCTGAAGTGCACCCATTTACACATGCGCCACTCATACCATCACAAGTTCTATTTATACAATGTCCACAGTTAGACATACAGGTTCTGCCATATTTGCCTGCAGGACAAGCTGGAAGGAATAAAATTGTTAATTAATTAGATGCATAAACAAAGGTTTAAATACAGTCAAACTTTTTAATCTGGATGTTGTGAATTTCCTCTTTCAGCAAATTTATTTGTTTAGAGTGCTGTCTATTCTGGGAAGTTTTTATCCGGCAAAATTCTTTTAAAGCATTTGAGTTCCGATGAGACAAAATAACCTGTATATATTCGATACCCAAAATAGATAAATAAGTCTTTAAAAGCATTCCATTTTCTGAAAATTTAAAATTCTTAGTTTTTTTAAGAAAATGGTATAAGTTGTAATTTAATGTATTGGTATCATTAATTCCTTGATATTAATATAAAAATGTCCTTTACATATCTTATATGTATATACTTCCATTGAAAATCTACAATATTACTACCACATGCACTGCCGTCATTTTGTGAAAAGTCTAGACCTGCTCATTCGCAATAGGACGTCATTTAAGAGGACTACTTATTTTTTTCAAAGTGAACTTATTTGATTCTCAAGTCATTGAATTGTGGGAATAAGCAGTGTTTTACATAATCATGAAATGGTACTTGTATTTCATATTTTTGGAACTTCCAGTACAAAGACATAATTTTTCAAAGTTGTCAATGTTGGCAGAGATAGATACAGTTGAGTTCTAAAGCAGTCTTCTCTATTGTTAAGAGCAAGATACATGAGAACTTAGAAATTACTATGGAAAACATCATGGATAAAGACTGTTTTTCATTACTAATTAATCATTTCTGATAAGATGATTTAAAAAATTTCTAACTCTAAAATTGGAAATTATCAAGTCATAAAGTTCAAATATTTCATCATTTTGCATAACCATTATATAATACCTTTATCACTCGTATATGTTGATTCATTACATAAGAGCATGTTCTACTCTTTAACAACGAAACGTGTTATTGAAAAATAAATGAAAGATACAAAGATATCAACACTTGTGTTTATTAGAGACAAGGGTTTGGTGTCAAATTGTATAATAAAGGACAAAGTTTAATCAAAATATGATTCCAATATTTTTTAAAAAGCTTTAGAGATTATAAATAAAAGCTGGTTAAAACTACTTACCAAGTCCTATGTTACATAAATCTGAATTACAACACATGGAAGATTTCTGATTGATTGTCCTTTTCCCGAAGGCATCAGTTACTGTCACTCTTATTTCACATTCCTAGATAATAAAAAAAACCCATCAGGTTAACATTTTACCTTATAAATAGAAATTTAAAAAGACAGTTTCATTGAATTTCAAGGCCTCTTTGTGTTAAAGTGAAATTTTGTGTGAGATTGTTTGTATAATTAATGCTTGATTTATGTTATCTTAATCTTGTTGATTTGTAGTAATTGCTCTAAGCTACAGACTGCAGTGATCTGTTTATGTGATAAGGGCTTGACCGCTCATTAAGATTTGGCTGTGAAATTTAGCTCTTGTATCAGCATTGCTGACTTTTATCACCCGAGTCTCAGGGGGATTGAATGTCCGAAGTGCTGGCCATGAGAAAATGCAGAATTCATAGTGTTCACAATTATTGGGTTAATTTAGCAGTGATTGGCAGTCTGTAGGTTGGGCAGTTCTTAATATTTAGCGTAGAATTTGTGTGTTCAATTAGTTACTCAGTCGGGTCCTGTGTGTAAAGTGTTACACGGGAATACAAAATAAACTTTGTTGGAAACTTTGGGCGTTTTTATTTAAAAACAGAAAGTTTCGGTGTAACATTTTAAGTGGTGGCAGCGGTAAAGGATCCTAATTAAATGTGAAATATTGTTTGAAATTTTATATATATTTGGATTTAACAAGTGGAAATAAAATGCCTAGGAAACAGGACTTAGAATTGGAATTACAACTTTCTAAACAAAAACAGGAACATGAATTGCGTTTAAAAACACTTGAATTGGAACATGAAAAAGAAATTTTGGAATTACGTGTTCAGCTAGAGAAGGCCAATTCAACACCAGGAGCACATTCGACAGGAATGCCAAAAATTAAACTTCAACCATTTAATCAGGAAAAGGATGACATTTTATGCTATCTCTCTGAATTTGATGCGGTAGCTGAGCATGCAGGTTGGACTGAGAACTCAAAGACTTTACAGCTTAGGTCACTTTTAACCGGAGAAGCTCGAGAAGTGTCGCAGCAAGTGACTTCGGGATACAGAGATCTGTATAAGGCTCTTTTGAATCGATTCGGCAAGCGCCCGGCAGACTACTTTCAGTTCCTGGAGGAAATTAAACGTAGACCAGGAGAAACTTACAGAGGATTAATGTCGAGAATAGATCTGTATTTGAGTCGTTTCATTGATGAGAAAGATCCCGTACAAAAGTTCCGAGAAGAGTATTTCTTAAAGGCGTTATCTCCTCAACAAGCCCAGTGGATTAGACGGAATAAGGGAAGTATTGAGTTAGTTGAAGCTGCTGAGGATTACATTCTACCAACAAAATCAGCCGAGGACAGAAAACTTCAAAATACTAAAGTGTTAGGTGAGAAGAAGAGCCAGGAACAGGGGAACTCCGGAAAACAGAAAAGTTTGGAAAAAGTGAAATATTTAGCTGTGGGAACTTTGGACATTATGCAAACAAATGCCCAAAGAAAGGTAATCTAGCGTCGTGTTTCGTGAAAGGAGCATTATGGTGTTTACATTATGTTCCGGGGAAAGTGGATGATGTGGAAGTGTCAATGGTCAAGGACACTGGAGCATCTATGACGCTATTGCGGGAGGATCTTGTTGATCCAAAATGTGTTCTACATGGACAAACTACTTCCTTGGTTACAGCTATTGGACAGCCATTCGAGGCTAAGTTAGCAGTGGTTAACCTGGAAACACAAATGTTTAAGGGACATGGTCAGGTAGGTTTAGTACCTGATCTGGTTGCAGATGGTTTATTGGGAATAGATGTTCTGGAGAGGAACAAAGTTGCAGCTGTGGTTACGAGAGCCAAAGCAAAAGAACAAGAACAAAATGAATTAAGTGCCAAAAATCGCAGGAATAAATGTGATGTCGTACCAAGGGACTTAAACGTCGTGGTAACTAACGATGATGCTGGTGAAGTGAACCTTGATCTACCAGAAATTTCATTGGAAAAGTTGAGCGTGGTGAATGGAAATAAACTATCGAATCTTCAGAAACAAGACCCAACACTCAAAAATTGTAGGGATAAAGCATTCAAAAATGTATCACAAACTGAGACAGAACATAAAGCGTTTTACTGGGAGAATGACATATTGAAACGAAAATGGACTTCCAAGAAAAAGAATCTGTCGGGAACACAAGTGGTACTTCAAGTATCGCTAAGAAAAGCAGTGATGAAGCTGGCACATGATCAGCCAATAGCTGGATATTTAGGAACTGAGAAGACCAAACAACGTATTCTTGCGTCATTTTATTGGCCTGGATTGTTCCAAGATGTGTCGGACTACTGCGCAGAATGTGACACCTGTCAAAAAGTGGCAAAAAGAAGTGCGGAAAGAGCTCCTATGGTCAACACACCTATCATAACTGATCCGTTTTCAAAGATCGCAATTGACATCGTTGGCCCACTCAATAGGACAACTCAAGGTAACAAATACATTCTGACTGTCATTGATGAAGCTACGAGATACCCAGAAGCTTTTGCTTTACCAAGTTGTGAAGCTGAACGAATAGCCGACACACTCATTACATTATTTAGTCGAGTTGGAATTCCTAAAACCATTCTAACTGACCAAGGATCAAATTTCACGAGTGCGCTCCTGAAAGATTTATATGAGAAAATCAAAATCAAGGGAATAACTACAACACCTTATCACCCGCAGGCAAATGGCAAAGTTGAAAGATTTAATGGAACGTTAAAATCAATGTTGAAAAAGTTGTGTATGGAGAATGGCGAAGATTGGGATGTACTACTTCAATATGTACTTTTTGCATACAGAGAAGTCCCACATGAGGAGACTGGTTTTTCACCATTTGACCTGTTGTACGGATGGCCAGTACATGGTCCTCTTAGTGTTTTAAAGAGCTTCTTGACTGGTGAGGAGGAAATAAAAACATCAGAGATAGATCATGTCGTCAACATCCGAAACAAACTGGCTGATGTGACACAACTCGTGCAAAACAACTTGGAAATGATGCAGTCGAAAATCAAAGACTGGTATGATCGCTCAGCATCCAAAAGGACTTTGCGTCCTGGTGATAAAGTACTCGTTTTACTCCCGACCGAACCCGGCAAGATGTCCGCTTAGTGGAAAGGACCGTTTCGTGTGGTTAACAAGGTAAATGATGTTAACTATAAAATCAATGTTGGAGGACGACGTGGACTTGTTACTTACCATATCAATTTACTTCGTCCTTATAACCGGGCTACATTACTGGCAGCAACAGAAAATGAAATTGGAATTGAACAGCAATTTCCTAACGACACCACAGAAACCATTTCAGATCTTGTCTTTGGACATGGGCTGACACAAGTGCAGAGACAGAGTTTAAGGGATGTTTGTCAGAAATTTTCAAGAATTTTCACATCAAAGCCGGGAAAGTGTGATGTTATCTCACATACAATCAGAACAACGTCTGAGAATCCAATTACTCAGAGACCTTACAGGATACCGGAAGCTAAGAAACAGGAAGTGAAGGAGTCTTTGAATGAAATGTTAGAACAAGGACTTATTACACCATCCAAAAGTCCGTGGGCCTCACCAATTGTCCTTGTCAACAAGCCTGATGGGACAATTAGAATATGTGTTGATTACAGAAAATTGAACGAAATAACTCTCACGGATCCTTATCCCATTCCACGCATGAGTGAAATATTTGAGAAAATTGGAAGTGCAAAATATTTGTGTAGATTTGATCTTACAAAAGGCTACTGGCAAGTTCCTCTGGCAAAGGAAACACGTGAGAAATCCGCCTTCATCACCCCATTTGGCCTTTTCGAGTTTACAGTGATGCCGTTTGGTATGAAGACGTCTCCAGCATCATTCATAAGACTTATGGATCGTATTTTAGATGGAACTCAAAATACTGTTGCGTACTTTGATGACATAATTGTCTACAGTCAGACGTGGGAAGCCCATATCAAACATGTAACAGAGCTACTTCAGCGTATTCATGAGGCCAATCTTACCATCAGACCATCAAAATGTAAGTTGGGAGCAACAGAAATCATCTGTTTGGGACATATAGTTGGAGGGGGATCAATTCGACCAGACCCTCGGAAATTGAAGGCTATGGAGGATTTTCCGCTTCCCTTGACAAAGAAGGAATTAAGATCATTCTTGGGGCTAACTGGATACTATCGCCAGTATATAGGAAATTATGCGGACATAACTGTACCACTGACTGATCTACTGAGAAAAAGTCAACCCGCAGAATTAAAATGGACGGAAAGGAAGTGCAGTCATTCAAGAAACTGAAGGAGGCCCTGATGACAGCTCCTGTTTTGGTCAATCCGAACTTCAATTTACCGTTTGTACTACAAACAGATGCGAGTAATAATGCAATTGGGGCTGTCCTGAGCCAACAGTTGTCAGATGGTGATCACCCAGTTGCTTACCTTAGTAAGAAGTTACTCCCAAGGGAAAAGAACTATTCAACGATAGAGAAGGAATTATTAGCTATCGTTTGGGCCATTGGATCGTTTTCGTATTACCTAGAGGGGAGGAAGTTTTACGTAGAAACAGATCACAATCCACTAACATGGTTGCATCGCTTGAAGAATAAAAATCAGAGACTGTTGCGTTGGGCCCTCGCACTACAATCGTACACCTTTGAAGTTAGATATAAGAGAGGAAGCAAAAACACAAATGCAGACGGATTATCAAGAATCTGAAAAGTGAAATGTGTTTGTGAATTATGGGCAATTTTTGTGAAAATTTTATATTCATAAAATTCAAATGCATTCAGTTTGGATTTACAGTGAAATTCATTTTGGATTTATATTATTCTTTTGATGATTAATTGCTATTAACTGTTTAATACTTATTTGGACTGGCTAAAGTGAATTTAGTGACTGGTTAAATTTAATGTTGCTATATACAGAATTATGGACTTGGAAAAAATTCAACTATTGACAGTTAAATTTTTATCTTTGGAAGGGAGGTGTTAAAGTGAAATTTTGTGTGAAATTGTTTGTATAATTAATGCTTGATTTATGTTATCTTAATCTTGTTGATTTGTA